CAGTGCAGTGTTTATACATATGTAGGGACACTTGAAATTTCATATGAATTTTTTTTTTTTTTGAGAGAGAGAGTGGGGAGTGGGTCTAGCTATGTAGTCCAGGCTGGTTTTGAACTCACTACGTGTAGCCTATGCTGGTCTTGGAACTCTGTGATCCTCCTGCCTTAGCTTTCTGAATGCTGGTTTTACAGGCATGTATCACCACATACAGCCTTTTCATATGATTTGAATGATAGATTTTTTTGCAGCTATTCTGCAAAAACCATTGTTAAGGTTTGGGTAGGAATTGTATTAAGCCTGTATATCACTTTGTATAGTATTGGCATCTTAAAGATATTAAGTCTTCCAATCCTTGAATATGAAATGTCATTCCATTTATTTGTCTTTAATTTCTTTTAGCAGTGCTTTTCAATCTTTCAGCTTTTTTGGTTAAATTTATTCCTGTTTTTTATTCTTTGTGATGTTATTATAAGTGGAATTTCAGAATTCTTTGTAAGAAGCAATTATGTTTTGTGTGTGTTGATTTTTTATATGTACCTTTGCTGAATTTATTAGTTCTAATAGGATTTTGTGAAATCTGCAGGGTTTTCTACACATAAAATTTTATGTGCAAGCAGAGATAAATTTAATTCTTACTTTCTTTTGCTTTTTGAGGCAAAGTCTCACTCTGTAATTCAGGCTAGTCTTAGATTCACCATGGACCCAGGCCAGCATCGAACTCACAGGGATCCTCCTGCCTTATTCTTCCATGTGCTGACATTACAGAAATGTGCCACCATGTCCAGTTAATTCTTACTTCTCTATTTGAATTGCTTTTGTTTTCCTTGCCTAGTTGTTCTGATTCAGACTTTTAGTACTATGTTGAAGAAAATTGGAGAAAGTGAATATTTCACTGGAGACAATCTTCACTACTGTTTTGTTTGCTGTTTTTCTTTTTTTTTAAATTTTATTTAAAAGAAAAAAGAGAAAAAACAAAACAAAGCGGTGTAAGGGTACAAGTAATACAGAACTACAAAAAAAAAAAAAAAAAAAAAGTAAGAAATCACCAGTTAATAGATTACACATTATCATCTTAGAGATAGTTGCTCAAGTCACAGTATCAAAGCATACAAAGTGGACACTCAAACAGTGAGACTGCAAACAGTTGTGTTCAATGATCCAACCAAAAACATTAATATGGTCAGCTATTTAACACCCCTAAACACACTTGCAGTTGTATCCTTTAGAGCACTTTTTTTCCCCTCTCTTTTTTACAACAAAATTTACACATTTTGGGTTTTATTACTCCTTAGTTCTTATTACTTTTTTTTTTTTTGGAAGAGAATAAAGTCAAATATGGCAAAACAAAGCTGTCAGTCAAAACCAAGGATAGACATAGTACATGATGTAAGAACAGAGTACAAGGTTATCAACAATGGTTACCATAATGTCTCGTTTCCTTAAAAAGAATGTTTTGCTGTTTTTCAGACTTAATGTGACCCTTATTATGTTGTGGGATTTAAGAGAGATGAGTGACCAACAGGGAAAAACAGGAGAACTTTATTTTAGGTGTACACTGGCTCAGCTGATAAATCCAAAATGTCCCAAGCAAAGGACAGAGGACAGGTTCCAGCTTTTACACATTTGGTCAAGGGAGTAGGTCTTTGGCATGAACCTTGTAGACAGGCAGAAGGAGAACAAAGGCAGTTTGTCAAGTGGTGACAGTTTTGCATCTTGGTGACTTTACTCAGATATAACAGGATACCATGGCAACAGGAGGCAATAAAATTTCACTTATGGGGACGAAAGTTACTGATTCAGTTATGTTAAGGAACTTACTTTTCTCCTGTTGTTAGTTTGTTGAGTATTTTTATCATAAGAGTATTGAATTTTGTTAAATGTTTTTTCTGTATCAACTGAGACCATCATTCTTTCTCTTCATTTTGCTAATGTAGTATATTTGATCAATTCCCCTTTCTTTGGTTTTTTTGGGATAGGGTTTTACTGTGTAGCCAAGGCTGGACTCGAATTCACAGCGATCCTCTTGCCTCAGCCTCCTGAGTGCTGGGATCACAGGCATGAGCCACTACACCTGGCTTGATTGATTCTTGTATGTTGATTCATCCTTACATTCAGAGATAAATACCACTTGGTAATAGTGTATAGCACTTTTAATGTGCTTATTAAATTTGGTTTGCTGAGAACCCTGGTTTCAGTCCCGTCCCTCTCTCCCCCCGCACACACAAAAGAAAGAAAACAAAGGAAGAAAGGTGAAAGATTCATTCTCATAGTTTGTGTTTTTAGCAGTTTATCCATTTCATCTAGGTTTTTCAGTATTCTGGTATATAATTGTGCAAAGTGTTCTCTTATGATCCTTTTTATTTCTATAACATTAAATTACATTATATATTATAGCATTGGTATTAGTGAACCTAGGTAAAAGTCTGTCAAGTTTATTGATTTTATTTTCAATGGACCAGCTTCTAGCTTGGTGTTTTTCTCTTTGGTTTCCTATTTATTGCTTTATTTATTTCTACAAACAAAGATAAATTTAATTCTTACTCCTCTTGATTTGCTTTTTTTTTTTTTTTGTCTTTTTGAGACAGGGTGTCTGTGCAGTTCAAGCTGGCCTTGAGCTCATTTTGTAGCCTAGGTTGGTCTCGAACTCACAATGATTCTCCAGCCTCAGCCTCCCGAGTGCTGGGATTACAGATGTGAGCCACCACACCCAGCTCTTGTTTTGCTTTTTGAGATAGGGTCTCACTCTAATCCTATTATTTCCTTCCTTCTGCTAGCTTTGGATTTTGTTTACCCTTTTTTTTGAAGATGCAGGTTAGGTTGTTGGTTTTTTAGTGTATTTATACTAATACTAATACTAATTAGTGCAGTACTCAGCACAGCCTTTGCTGCATCCATAAATTTTTTGTGTTGGGGGATTTAGCTCAGCAGCATAAGCACCTGCCTTGCAAGCAGGCGGTGGTGAGTTTGATCCCTGGTACCGATAAAAATGAAAAAGACAAAAAAAAAAAAGGAAAAAAATTTTATATGTTGTGTTTTCATTTCCATTTGTCTGTATTTTCTGATTTCTCTGTAACTTGGTTTTAAAAGATGGTGTGTTTAATTTTGACATATTATGAATTTTCTAGTTGTCTTCTTTTTTATTTCTAGTTTTTTTCTATTGTGATTAGAAAAGATACTTATATGACTTCCATGGTTTCAGTCTTTTTTTTTTTTTTTTTTTTTGAGACAGGGTCACACTGTGTAGTGCAGACTGGTCTTGAGCTTACTATATAGTGCAGACTGGCTTTGAACTCATGGTAATCCTCTTGCTTGAGCCTCCTGAGTGCTGGGATTATAGGTGTGTGCCACCACACCTGGCAGTTTCAGTGTTAAAATTTATTAAAACTTGTTTTATGGTCTAACATATGGTCTGTCCTGATGTGCGCTTAAAAAAACACATATTCTGCTCTTTAGGATAGGTAGACTGTCACATCAAATTGGTCTGTATATTGGTTCATTTCCTTTTTTATTGATTTTCTCTCTAGTTGTTCTTGAAATGCTGCTTGATTTAGCTTCTTCAGGCTCTGTTTGCCATATTTTCAAATTCTGCTTTATCATTCATTTAAAGAAATACATTTTATTTGTTGGTAGACATTTTAAAATTGTGATTATGTACTTAAACCAGTACACATTATAGACCTTAATTTCTAAAAGCATTCTTTGAACACATAGGTAAATGTCAACAACATTTTAACAAAGCATGATAGTATATTTGTATAGGCAGTTTTTTTTTCTTATTTAGTTTTCCATTTTTTCCATCATGAACATGCTACTGATAGTGATGAAAAACAATTCTATTTAAGCAATAATTAATTTAATACTGATAGTGATGAAAAACAATTCTATTTAAGCAATAATTAATTTAATACAGTTGTTGAGCGCCTACTGTATTTTGTACTAATTTTTGGGAACAGTGAAACAAGACAGGAAATGTTGCTGCCTCTTGGAGCTTATGGTTCCATGGATGAGAAAGGTAATACACTATTATATAAGCAACTGAACACAGTAAGTATAGGTTGTGATTAGTTCTGTTATGGAAGATGTAGTAACGACTAGCACAGGGAGCCTAATTTAGGCTGGCCGATTAGGGACCAGAGCATCATCCCGGATGTAGGAAGTGTAGACACTTGAGGCAGTACAGAGCTTGGTTTGTTCTTGAGACCTGACAAGGCATTTGTCTCGGTATTTTCCAGTTCATGTAAATATTAGATTGAGTTGAATGAAACTGCTGTTTTTTCAGGCTGGAATGGTAACCAGCAGTTCAGCCTTTACTTTGGTTTCTCAGTCTTGCCATTGACTGCAGGTGACTCAAGCTCTCTGGGCTATGGTTTTCTTGCCTGTAGAATGAGGACCACCAGTGAATTGTTTCAATTCACTGTCACTCCGTTTATGATTCTAACGGATATGGGGGCTCGGCAAGGCAGGCAAGTGTGGCCTTGAACACCCTTGAGAGAACCGCTGTTATTTCACACTCCAGGTTTGTCCTTGACAGCTCCCAGCCTGATTCTAATTCATTTCACACTCATGTGTTGTTGTATAATCTTAGCTGTGTGAATGGTTCTTAGTGATGCATTATTTTAACATGCCAGGGCTTGCAGTGCCTGATTATCAAGTCACCTGTTTTGCTCTTTTTTTTTTTTGTCTTTTTGAGACAGGGTCTCACTATGCAGTTCAAGCTGGCCTTGAGCTCACTTTGTAGCCTAAGTTGGTCTCGAACTCACAATAATTCTCCTGCCTCAGCCTCTCGAGTGCCAGGATTATAGATGTGTGCTACCATGCCCAGTACATATTTACATATTTTGCTGTTGACTTTACTAATTTTTTGTGTTTATGAGCCTATGAGTTACTTCATTATCTAGGTAGGAACCTTTGAGTACCAACTTTTATTTATCCTAGTGAATTCATTTTCTTGGCTGCATCAGAAAATCTGGTAATGTGTATACATATTTTGTGTTCTTTAGATCAGTCCAAAACGTTTGTGAAGGTTTTTACTGAAATTGACCGGATGCCGCAGCTCCTTGCATACTACTACAAATGTCACAAGGTAAGCAGCTGTGAGCCGTTACAGTTATAGGATGCCAGTAACAGTGGGCTACACAAAACCAGGTTTCACACTCAAGGTTAAAATGCCTCTTTGACCTCTGGTTGCTTTTCTTGTGGTTAGCCAGTAGGTGTTGCTCTTGATCCAGCATATGGATGCATTTAATTGCCATTTGAAAAAATCGGAGGTTTTTGTCCTGTATTCACAACTGGATTCATTTACAAAGTTGAAAAGTTATTTTAATTTATTCAAAACTTTGTCTTTTTTTTTTTTTTTTTTTGGCAGTACTGGGAAATGAACTTAGAGCCTTTGTGCTCAGCTACATCCCTTTTTGTTCTTTTTTTTTCATTTTTAAATTTTGACTCAGGATCTTACTTAGTTGCCCAAATGGGGTCAAACTTGAGATCCTCCTGCTTCAGCCGCCCAGAGTGCTGGGATTACCAAGTGTGTGCCGGTGTGCCCAGTCCATTTTTGTCTTTTTGGTGGGGGAGTGCTGGAATTGAACTCAGGACCTTTCACTTGCCAGGCGGGCGCTGTGCTGCTGAGCTATATCCCTGGCTGCGCATTTGTGTCTTTTAAGGAAGATTCATGTCTTAAGCTTCATTGGGCCTTCAGAAAGCCATAATAACTTAATATATTTTTTAAGTTTGTTGAAGTTAGGTTATCAAAATTGTTTGTAGCTTCCTGGGCTAACCTTAGTTCCTTCAAGGCCATTGCATGTGTGCGTTTGAAGCAGCAAGGTTAGGTAAAGAAGTTTCAGCACTCACGCTTAGGTCCTGAGCTCTGCTCAGAGTGGACTGTGCTGAGTGGGAGCACAGTGCAGGGAAGGGGAAAAGGAGAGCAGTCAGTTGGAGGGTGACAGAGTGAAGCTTTGGGTAATTCCCAGAGTAGGTAAGTTTGTTTTGTTTGTTTTCTGCCTTAAGTGAGTGGGCCTCTGGGTCCTTGAGTGCTCAGGGTGGTGGGCAGCAGTGATACTCCCTTGCTTTGGTGGGAGGTCAGGGCAGTGGCAGCAGGCAGCATTGCTAATGTACCCAGTGAGACCCTTTTATTCTGCCTCCGTAGGTGCAGCTTTTATCAGCCTGGCAAGAGCTGTGCCAGACCGATTTGCCACTGGAGCAGCAGCTCACGGGTCTCTATGATGCCCTGCTTGGTGCTTGGCACACACAGATCCAGTGGACTACACAGGTAACAGCTTATTAGAGGTCCAGGGAGAATAAAGCCTGTGATGACAAAGAAATAGGTGATTGAAAAGGGTTGATCACTCTCACCTACAGGGCACCACTTGAAGAATCTCCTGTTGCTCCCGTTACTCAAGGGGTTAAACCATCAGCTTAGACACACACTTGAGTGAAGTCCTTGGGTCTCCATTAAAACACTTCTTTCTTATCTGTATCTTAAATACAATCTAATGTGGCCTTGTTGCCTGTTCTTCCCTAGGGGAGCCTTTGCAATTCCGGGAAGTTATTATCAGATCTTAAAGCAGGGGGCCCCTAGTCAGGTGATGCTGGAGTGAGCAAGACTAATTTTACCTTAACTAAAGGTAAAGTTTATGCGGCTTGCAATTAGTTTCCCTTGTTCTCACTATACAATGAATTAGCAGAAGAGTACAATTTTAAAGACAGCCTCTAACCAGTGCTGGGGTGAGACAAATGTTTCAAGTAGAAACTTTCTATCCCTCACTTCTCTAAAATTTTTGGGCCTTTCTGACCATAGGATACAAATCATTGTCCCTTTTTGTCTTGATGTCATGAGACATAGCAGGTCCTCCTTTAGAAGGGGAAAGCCCAAATACTTAGGAGTGATGATGCACTGGGCCTGCTGATGGCGTGGCTTATCATTTTTTTCACAATTGGTCACGAATCACTTTTCAGATGCTCATCAGTCATTTGTTGGAATGCATTTGATGACAGTCATAGAGAATCTTTGTACGAGGTTGTGTCATTTAACTTGGTTAAAGTGCTTCTCTCCATCCTGGTTTCTTTTTCCTTGAACTAACCTTATTGAGACTTAGTTGTTTTTTGTTTGCATGTATTTGTTTATTCAATTACTGAGGCCTTCTCACTGAGTGACATCATAGTTCTTTAATTTTTTAAATTTTGAGACAGGGTCTCAGTAAGTCACTGAGTTGCCCAGACTGGGTTTAAACTTGTCATCCTCCTACTTCAGCTGCCAGAGTTCTGGGATTATAGGGCTGTGTTTCCAGGCTTGGTTTAGATTGCTTTTTAAAGGAGAGAATAGGGCCAGGGATTTAGCTCACTGGCATAACAACCTCCTGTAGAAGTTTCAGTTTTTCTTTTTCTGTAATCATCAGTTTTCAGTGAGATCCTCCATCCATGCTCATTTGCATGTCATGGTCTTGCTGATATCCTGAGATAGAAATAGCTTTGCCAACACATATAAATGTTCTTTATCATCTAATAAAAAGAACTTAGACTTCTCAGATTTCTCTTCAGTCTTCATCCTCAATTTTTTTTTTTGAGACAGGGTCTCGCTATGCAGTTTAGGCTGGCTTTGAGCTCACTTTGTAACGCAGGCTGGTCTCAAACTTGCAACAATCCTCCTGCCTCAGCCTCCTAAGTGCTGGGATTACAGGCATGCACCACCATTATAAGCTCATCCTGTTTTGTGAGGTGTGTATTTATGCTTGTTTTTTTTGGCTTTTTCGTTTTTATCGGTACCAGGGATCGAACTCACGACTGCCTGCTTTCAAGGCAGGCGCTTATGCCACTGAGCTAAATCCCCAGCCCCCATTTATGCTTGTTTATCCTTTAGCCCTTGGCCTGTTTTCTTTTCTCTTTTTTTGAACAGTCAGAGAAGGGCATGTCTTGTTTCTTTTCCTGCCATTAAAGAAAATAATCGTTTTAGGTCCATGTAAGCGAGGTAGCTCCCTTTGGGCTGGGCATAAAGAAGCTGACACTAGGGAGTAAAGACCCATTTTGTATATGGAATGTAAACAGCATGCAAAGTAAGGCTAAAGGCACCAGGATAATGTGTCTCCTTCATATATTCCAGTATTTTAAATCACTTTTTTTTATTGAGGTGCTAGAGCTCAAACCCAGGGTCTCATCCATGTTAAGCAGGTGCTCTGTCTCTGAGATATACCACCAGCCCTCCTGTCTCAGCCTCCAGAGTGCTGGGGTCACAGACACGTGTCATCACACCCAGTACTTTAGTATGAAAAATTTCCAACATGTAAACAGGAGTTGAGAGAATATCCATGTGCCAAGCTCCTAGATTCTACAGCAAACATTCTGCTATATTTATTTCATTAAAAATCTGTCCATCCACCTATTTCTGTCTGCCCATTAAGCCTTCCTATTTTTTAATTTATTTCAAAATAAATTGCAAAATCATTCACTTTAGCACATGTTGTTAAATGGAATTCAATCTCATTTTTGAAGTTGAGGTTTAGCGTTTATGTTTAGATCTAAGGTAAAATTTTGAAATGTAATGCTTTTAAATATGTCATTTTTATTAGTTTGAAAAATATAAATATTTATGTAATACAGTCCTCTTCCTAGACAGAAATATTACCATCACCCTAAAATGTTTTTTATGTTTCTTCCTAGGTGACCACTGCTCTGTTTTTTTTTTTTTCCTGCATCAGTTAGTTTGGAGTGCTCTAGAATTTCATGTAGATGAAATTACTCATTGGTTTCTTCTCTTAATAAAGCTTCTTTCACTTAGTGTGTTTTTGAGATTTACTTGCGTATCAATAGTGTGTTCCTTTTTATTGCTGGAATACTATTCTGTGGTATGAATTACACATCAGTTTACACATTCTCTTATTGATGGACACTTGGTCTGTTTCCAGCTTGGGGCTATTAGGAATAAAGCTTCTCTGAACATGTTTTGTAAGAATTGTTTTGTAGATACGCCTGTTTATATCTTTTGCATAAATACCTAGGAATAGAATTTGAGGGTATAAGGCAGATGTATGTTTAGATGTATAAAAAGCTGCCTTTTTCCAAAGTGGTTGTACTTTTGTACTCTCATGGTAGTGTGTGTTCTAGCCTCTTTGCTAATATCCTTTTTAATATTAGATGTTGTCATTCTTAATTTTAGCCATGCTAGTGGGTGTGTAGTATATCTCAGGTGGTTTTAATTTGTATTTCTTTGATATTCAAGGACACTGAGCTCCTATTTATATATCTTTCTTTGTGAAATGTCTACTTAAGTCATTGCCCATTTAAAAAGTTGGATTATTTGCTTTTTTATTATTTAGTTCCAGGAGTCCTTTATGTATTCCAGATACAGATCCTTTGTCAGATACATTTTGTAGATATTTCTTGCAGTCTGTGACTTAAACAAAGGTTTTTTTGTTTTGTTGTTTTCTGTAGTGCTGAGAATGGAGCCTGGGGCCTTGTACATGCTAGGAAAGCCAGCACTCCTAGGCCAAAGCAGAAGTATTGGTTTTGATGAAATCTAATTTATTGGTTTTTTTACTTTTGTGGTTATTACCCTCCATGCTCTAAGAAACCATCACCAGTCCCCAATTTGCAAGGGTATTCTTCCCTGTTTTCTTCTAGAAAGTGTTCAGCTTTTGTGTGGTCCATTCTGAATTAGTTTTAGTATGCAGTGTGATGACACAGTCAGATTGTCTTTGTATAGGTTATTGAGGTTAACTTTATAGCCTTAGTTGATAGGTTTCGTCTTGTAGTGTTATTTTGCTTCTATCTCTTGAGTGACTTAGGAATGGGAGAAGTTAGACTAAATAGTCCTATACAAAAGAGTTCGAATTGTTTGGTCTGTATATAAAGTCATATTCTAGACCTCCTAAGGAATTTTATTATTTATTTATTTTTGTACAGGGAGTTGAACTCAGGACCTTGTGCTTGCCAGATGGGTGCTTATGCTGCTGAGCTATATCCCCAGACATCCAAAGGAGGTTTTTAAATGCATCTTTCAACTAAAACTCTTATAGGTTACCTTTTTCCTTAAAGGGATTTTCTGAATATTACCAAAGAACAACAAACATTCACAGACCACAAAATGTGAGGATTGGTGATGGTTTCTTAGACCTAGAGGACAATAGCTAAAAGAAAAAAATTCACCCAAATTTCTTTTTCTTTTCTTTTTTTTGGTTTCTTTTTGAGAAAGGGTCTTGGTATATAGTTCAGGTTGTCCTTAAACTCACAGCAATCCTCTTTCCTCTGCCTCTTGAGTGTTGGGCTTTCAGGGTGTGACACCATACCTGGCTCATCCTGATGTCTTTTTTTAAATTCCTTTTCAGTTCCCTCTCTCGGCCCCCCTCCCCCAAAAAAACCCCAAAAAACAAAACACAAAACAAAAAAAAGAATCGAGGGGTGGAGGAGGGGAGCAAAAAAGGAGTTAAAATGTGTCATATCATGCACCAGCTCCCCACAAGGAATATAAACATTATGTACTGTCAACATGTACTAATAAATAAATTAAAAACAAAAAGGAAAGGAAAAACTGGGTTGGAAGTGTGGCTCAGTGGTAGAGCACTTGCCTAGCAGGCCTGAAGCTCTAGATTGGATCCCCAACACTTTAGAAACTAAATCAAATCAACACAGACCAAACCAAACCAAAACCTGATAAATTAGGTATCGTCACAATCAACCTCTGCTCAATCCATAAATTGGAAGAAAAATTTTTAAAAACATAGCTGATGAAGGAATCCAACTCTATAAAGAACCCTTACAACTAACTAATGACAAAGCAGAACCCTCAGTCTTTAAATGGGCTGAAGCTGTGAGTAGACATTTTACAGAAGAAGCCACACAAATGGCAGCTTGCTGTCCTTAGTCATCAGGAAATGCAGATTAAAGCCACAATGAGATACACCACACCAGATTGCCTAAGACTGAAAAGAATGACAACACCAAAATGTTAATGCCTGGTGAACCTTGCAATATTAAAAATGTAAAATGTAAGTTAAGTTTTGAATTAACATGTAAAAATTGCCCTGGTTGTTGTATTTTGAAATTTTATTTTTCTCTTTGACATAAAATGGATTTGGAAAAAAAAAAAAAACATGTAAAGGGCTGGGGATTTAGCTCAGCAGCACAAGTGCCTGTTTTGCAAGCAGGCAGTCGTGAGTTTGATCCCTGGTTCCGATTAAAAAAAAAAAAACATGTAAAAATAATGAATTTGGTGGTGAATTGGTGAGAGACAGAAGAAAGGTAAGAGCCTTTGCTTGGTACCAGGTGGTCATGGTAATGTTCAGGTTCAAGAAAGGTGAACAGTTGCTAGGTCCTGTTCTATGCTTGATCAGAACAATTGCTAGAACAGTTGTAATGAGCTGGTAAAGGGGTTGAAAGAAAGGAAGAACAAGGAGAGATTTTCTTCTTGGTTGTATGAACACAGTACCGACAAAAATAAGAAAGTTGAGGGAAAGCAGATATAGGAAGATGATAAATTGTAATTTTGGGTGCTTTTAAATTCCAAGTGAGAATCTTCACAGCAACATCCAGTAGGTAGGTGGAAGAACTTCTCAGGAAATACAAATGGAGTGCCGCTGGCAGTTTAGCATTGCATTATTTTGGGTTTGCTTGGTTCTTTCTTCTGTTTATTTTTCTCAGACTCCAACAGAGTAGCTTTGAGCAGAGTGTAACTGGATTTACTGAACAAAACAAATGTTCTTTGAAGTTTTATAAATTCTCCATGAGAATTTACACATAAATTTTATGCAAGGAAGAGTATGTTATCTGCAGAGATAATTCTGTTTCTGCTTTTAATGTCTTTTTCTCATATTGTGTGGCTGGAACTCCCAGTGTCCTGTTGGATAGAGTGGCAAAAGTAGGCCTGTTCATCTTGTTCCTGCTCTTAGGCAAGCTGGTCGCGGAGGTGCACACATGTAATCCCAGCACTCTGGGAAGCAGAGCTGGGAAGGTAACAAGTTCTAGTCCAACCTGGGCAACTTAAGGAACAGAGTTCAGACCACAGCATGCTCTGTCTTCAACGTTTTTGAAGTCTTTTCTTTACAAGGGTTGGTGTTAATTTTTAAAAATGTTTTGTAGAATTCATCAGTGAAGCCATTGAGTCTAATCTTTTCTTTGTTGGGAAGTTGTTTTGTTGTTGTGGGTTTTTTGTTTGTTTGTTTTGTTTTTATTTTGAGACGAAGTCTCATTATGTAGTTCAGGCTGGTTTTGAACTCTGTCTTCCTGCTTCAACCTCCCAAATGCTGTGATTATAGGTGTGTGCCACCACACTTGGCTTGGGAAGTTTTTGATCACTGATTCAATTTCTTTACTAGTTATAGTTTCTGTTTCTTCTTGAGCTAGTTTCGGTAGATTGTATGTCTAGGAATTTGTCCATGTCATTCAATTTGTTGCCATATAGTTGCTTATAGTATTCCATTGTAATCCTTTTTATTTCTTTAAAACTGATGGTAACATCCCTACTTTCATATCTGATTTATTTTATTTTTATGTCTTTTAAGAAAGGGTCTGGCTAGGTAGTTCAGCTTGGCCTTGAATTCACTGTGTAGCACGTGCTGGCCTCGAACTTGCCATGATTTTTCTTGTCTCAGCCTCCCTAGTGCGGGCATTACAGGCATGTGCCACCTCATAGCCAGCTCATACTGGATTTTTACAATGAGCCATTTCTTTTGTTAGTTTAGGTAATGTTAGTTTTATTGATCTTTCCAAAAAGCCAACTTCTGCTTTTTGATTCTCTATTGATTCTCTGTTCTCTATTTCACTTATCACTGCTTCAATTTTTCTTAAGCTAGCTTTGGGTGTAGTTGGCTCTTTTTTTTTTTTTTCCTAATTAATGTAAACAGTTAAGTCATTAGTTTGAGATCTTCTTTTTTATTTATTTATTTATTTTTTGTCTTTTTTCCTTTTTATCAGTACCGGGGATCGAACTCACGACCGCACTTATGCCGCTGAGCTAAATCCCCAGCCCCGAGATCTTTTTTTTATTTAGATAGCACGTAAAGCTATAAATTTCTTTCTTAGCACAGCTTCTGTTGTACCCTGTAAATTTTGTTAGGTAGTTTGCATTTTCACTTATCTCAAGATATTTTCTATTAAAAACTTGAATTTTACTGGTTTTACAGTTTTAGTTTTGTACCTTTTTGGCTTTAGGTTTGCCTAAGAATAGATCTTTCATGTTTGCACACACTTATAGAAAAGGGTACTTAATCTGCACTGGAGTGTGTAAGAACCTCCCCTTGGAATGGATTGTATGTTAGTCAGGTATTGCCTAAGAGATTTAAAGAATATGTGTTAGATTTTCCAGTGCCATAGGGAAGCAAAAATAAAGAAAAACAGGCCTTTATTGAGGATGTGGAGAGGAGTTCACAGCTCATGGGTCTGGGCTCCTCCTCTGGTGGGAGACAAATGGGACAGAAGATTATATAACCTCTGGCCAGAGGTAGAGTTTGGGACGGGTGTTGGTGACCCCGTGAAGAACTGACTGGAATCTTCTTGGTGCGCAGGAGAGGAAAGAAGGAGTTGTAATCAGGACTGAGGGGAGGAGGAGGAGGAAATGGTCCTTAGGGAGACAAGCTGTCATTTTCATTTTGGCTTTCTGCCATGATGGACCACCACCATAATACTCAGTAATTTATATTAGGGCAGAAACCTTTCAATATGGAGTAGGAAGAAAGGCTATTGATTAGTGAGTGAATAATTTAGATGGGTCTAGATGCACCACTCATGGTGGTCCTTTTAAGAGAACTCATCTAGACTGAAGACCGATCTGTGTCAAGGAGTAGGTAGCCTCAGGCTGAACTGAGAATCTGCACAAAGATCCTTGCAGCCCTGATTTGGTGAATTTACCCTCTTTCATTCTGTTTTGCTACTCCTTTCCTGCTCCCTTCAATTTATCATTGTTACCTTCACAGTTTTCTCTCAGTCAGTTTTTGGTGGCTGAGTGCTATGGAAAGCATTTTGAGAGCTTTGAAAACAGCCAAGACCAAGAAATGGGGGTAATGGATATTTAAAAAAAAATTAAGACATAGCTGGGACTTTGGCTCAGTGGCGTGCCTGCTTAGCAAATGTGAGGTCGTGAGTTCAATTCCCAGCATACACACACAAAAAAATTAAGATGCGTTATGTATTTACCAGCTTCTCCTGACGAATGTAACCATTGGGTACTGCAGACATCTACTAATAAAGATAAAAATTAAGACTAAAAAAAGAAAACAGCCAGGAACTTGAGATCAGTGACAGACATGAAGTGCCAATTGTTCTGGACGAGCTGCAAGCTTACTTTTTGAGACATTCAATTTGTAATAAGGGAAACTTTGAGCTTCCACCTCTTGAAGAGCCACTTTTCAGCAACAGGATGGGAGGGTTCCTTTGAGGGATCCAGGTGACAGCTTTGTTAAAAGGTGCCTTCCTGTTTGGTTGCAGAAGCTAATGCAGATGCCTCTTTGCCACTGCAGGTTTTCAAGAACCCCCATGAAGTGGTGACAGTGCTGCTGATTCAGACCCTGGAGGCCCTGGTTCCCTCCCTGCCCATGTGCCTCAGTGCTGGTGTGGAACGGGCGGGGCCCGAGCTGGAGCTCACCAAGCTGCTGGAGTTCTATGACACCACTGCTCACTTTGCCAAGGGGCTAGAGATGGCACTGCTCCCCCACCTACGTAAGTTGCGCCGCGCGGCCTCTGAACCCCCGACCGGCAGGGGAACTGACTCACACGACACACCAGAATGCAGAGACAGAGGTCGCGTTTATTGACTCTCCACACAGGTCGTCCCCGGAACGTTCCTCCCTGATCGGACTCTCCAGTGGGGCTCTCTCTGTTGAGTAACCCCGCGTAGTCCTCCACTCTCTATGGTCTGCGTGTCTTCTCTTCCTCTCTACCTCCTGCTCTGTCCTTATATCTATAGTCCTGTCCTATAGGGTAACAAGGCGTGGCAAAGTCTGATTGGGGGACATCAGCTGTAGCTAGGCAGAAGCTGAGGGTAAGAATACGGAAGTAGGAAATGGGCGCCATCTTGGCATCATTCGATGGGAGGGGTAATCTACTGAAGGCTTCGCTCTTTCCTACAGGCCTCATCTGCTTAGGCAGGTCCTCTGGCTCGGCTCCCGACATCTCCCCCTTTTTTCTTTATTAAAGGCGGTGGATCTAAGGGTCCCTCCAAGGTATGATGTTGTTAGATACCTGGGAGTGGGCCTACTTTGTAGGCCACGGCATGAGAGAATGTAGAGGTCTATACCCCGCTGTGCATCACCTCATTTCGATGCATATCCTCGCGCTAGGACCATGCTTGAGGTGAGTGGTTCATTTTTTCGCAAGGCCAGGCTTTTGTGAACCGAACCTGGATGCATATAGACATTCATTCCTGCCTTCCCCCCAGCTTTGGGGCGGGTGGCACTGCAGTACCCTTGGTCTCGCATCTCAATGCCAACAACTTAGCTCCATGAGAGGACCCTAATAGAGTGGGGTCTGTCTTAGGTTGGTCGGGAGAGCCCCTCCCGCCTTACCCGTCATTGACTCCATCACTCATCTCCTCGGGGAAGAAGGATGCCATCCAGCGGCACCTGTCTTTCTCGGTCCCCAACTGATGCTTTCCTCAGTAAACATGATCCAGTTGGGCAGCGAGGAAGCATTTGGGGGCTTAAAGGTGGAGAAAACCACCATATCATTAGAGAGGGGCACAGTGATATTGAACTCATGGGAAGTAATCGGGGCATCAGGAAGGCATGGCAATCTAGCTGTACAGTTGTGGGCATAGGTTCGCGGGAGGGTTGGAGATGTAACTGAAACAATGGACAGGGCTGGGGGATGTAGCCCCCCATACTATTTCAGCATAAGCACCGTTAATCAGCAGTAGTACCGCCAGGCATATTTTATGCCAGTTGACAGGGCGCGGTGCATGAGCAAACAAGAAGGCGCTCCGTCCCAGGCAGACCCCAAAGAGGAATACCAGAGTATACATTACCACACCCAGCAGTAGGTGGTTCGGTGCCTTGGCTAGGGTGTCATTGTTCTCCTTCTGCGTTGTCAAGTTGGTCCTTAGCATTATGGTCCCCTTCTCCTTTTTCTTCCTTTGTGGGGCTTGGAGTCTTTCTTATCAATCGCTCCGGTACCCACAGTGGTTCCTTTTCCTGTGGGGACACACAAACCGCGCCTCGGTTCCAGCTGACCACTGGATCCGGGCCCATCCACTGTCCCGTTAGGACATCCTTCCACTTTACCCATCCTTTGTTGGCGGGAGAAGGGCTACAATGCTCCATCGCCGGGGAGCGATCATTGCAGTTTTGATTCAAAAAATTATATGTAAACAGTGCCATGGATAGTCTTGCTTTTGGGGTCAGGCTGTGGCCTATTCCCCCTTTTTGTTTTGTTAAGATGTTTTTGAGGGTTTTATGGGCTCTCTCAATGATGCCCTGTCCTTGTGGGTTATAGGGGATTCCATGTTTTAACTGGACTTGCATGGTTTCACAAAATTTTGCAAAAGATTTCCCAGTGTATGCTGGGCCATTGTCTGTTTTGAGATGTCTGGGTTTTCCCCAGGCTGCCCATGCTGCCAGGCAGTGGTTAATCACATTAGACACCTTTTCCCCTGTTTCCGCTGACGCAAAGATTATATGAGAGCAGGTGTCTATGGAGACATGAACATACTTTAGAGAACCAAACTCTGCCACATGAGTGACATCCATCTGCCAAATGTCGCCGGGGGTCAACCCCCTAGGGTTAACTCCGACTGACACTACAGGCGAATGGGTGTCACATGAGCCACAGAGTCGCACAATGTCGCGTGCATCTGCTCTGGGGATATGGAATGTATTGGCAAGAGTCCTGGCATTAACATGAAATTTGTCATGAAATTGACGGGCTTGTTCCAGTGGGGACAGTATATTGAGAATCCATAGCGGGCGAGTAGCCGCATCCGCGGCCGCATTGCTCTGCACCATGGGCCCCGGTAGGTGCGTATGTGCTCTTATATGAGTGATAAACACTTTATGGTGTCTACTCGTGAGCAATGCCTGGATAGATAAGAACAAGTTTGTTACTTTAGAGGTTGGCTTGATTGGGCCCGCAGTTTCCAGGACCTGTAGGGCATTAACAACGTATTTCGAATCAGAAACAATATTGAGGGCCTCTGAAAATTTTTGGAGAACTGTTTGTACAATCAACAACTCTACCACCTGTGGTTGATCTGGTTCAAACTGTATGGTAACCGGAGACTTACCTGAGACTACATAGGCCCCTATCCCGGTTTTCGACCCATCAGTATAGATAGTTGTTGCATGAGCAAGAGGTGCGGAGGCGGTGATCTTTGGGAATATCACCGGATGTTGAGTAACAAACTGTAGTATGGGGTCCTTAGGAAATTGATTATCTATATCCCCGGGGAACACGCATCTCAAGATGGTCCAAGTATCCAGGCAGGCGGTCAGGGTCTTTATCTGAGAAGCAGTATAGGGCACCCGAATGGCATAAGGCGGGGAACCAAGATGTTGGATCGCTCTACTGTGCGCCTCCAATGCCAGAGAAGCAACTGATTCCGGGTAGTGTTCAATGACCTTGGCAGGTGAGACCTTAGGGTGCACCCACAGGAGTGGTCCCTTTTGCCAAATCACCGCCGTGGGCTGACATCTGGTCTGCAGCAAGCAGATTTCGAAAGGCTGTCCTGGGTCAATCCTCTGTAAAGTAGCTCTACTTATGGCCTTTTCAACCCTCTCTAAGGCAACCCTGGCCTCTGGGGTGAACTCTCTGGGGGAGGCAATGTCCGGGTCCCCCTTCAAGAGATCAAACAGAGGCTTTAAGTCAGAATTGGAGACATGTAAGTAAGGTCTGACCCAGTTTATATCTCCTAATAACTTCTGCATGTCATTTAAAGTGGTGAGATTATCCGTTCTGATGGTTACCTTCTGCGGAGAAACCAGAGTAGAGGAGAGTTTGGCACCCAAGTAGGTCACCACTTCTCCCCTTTGAATCTTGTCAGGGGCAATGTTCAAGTTAGCCTTTCTCAGGGCCTTGACCAGTTGGCCTAACATATCTTCTAACATTTTTGTTTCCTTTGCACTGATAAGCAGGTCATCCATATAATGAACGCATCTAATCTTGGGGAAGGCTTTTCGTATAGGGGTCAGCAAGGAATCCAAATAGATTTGACACATAGAGGGACTGTTGGCCATACCCTGAGGTAGGACCACCCATTCGTATCTGAGATCAGGGCTCTCCTGGTTAACCGTGGGCAGGGTGAAGGCAAATCGATGGGTGTCTTCTGGATGCAGGGGAATAGAGAAAAAACAATCCTTAAGGTCTATGACATAGACTGGCCAATGTCTTGGGATCGCTGAGAGTGCCGGAAGCCCCCTTTGAACTGCCCCTAAGGGTTGCATCTGCGCATTGATCGCTCTCAAATCATGGAGCAGCCTCCATCTGCCTGATTTCTTCCTGATGACAAAAATGGGGGTATTCCATGGGGAAGTCGACGGCTTTAAGTGTCCAGCTTGAAGCTGGGTTTTTATTATTTCCGTTAGTGCTGAGAGCTTCTCCTTGGGCAGGGGCCACTGAGGTACCCAAACTGGACTTGGGGACTTCCAAGTGATTTTAATCGGGGTGGGTAGGAGAACTTCTTCAGTGGCCCCTAGAAAAAACCCAGGCCATGTCTGCCTTCCTTCTTCTCCATAGGTACAGGGGAAGTCTGGCCCTGTAGGGCAGAGCCCAAGCCCTTGCCGGGGATATACCCTTGATTCTTAAGCATGCCCTTGGCCTGAGGAGAACAATTGGATGTAAGGGTGACGTCCATCTGGGTAAGGATGTCTCTCCCCCACAGAGACACTGGCAGTTGTAGGACAAAAGGCTGGAAATGACCCTGGTGGCCTTCCTCATCACACCAAGGCAGGGTTATGGCACTAACCTGAGGAGCTGTCACCATCCCTAACCCTTGAAGTGTGTTGTCTGCTGTATTTGTGGGCCAACTAGAGGGCCAGTCCTTCTTAGAGATGATAGACCGATCGGCCCCAGTGTCCAAAAGCCCTGTAATTTTTCTCCCATTTATTCTCAATGATAACATGGGTCTTTTGTCAAGTGTCAAATGCAGCCCTTCGAAAATCCCCGACCCCGCGCCTGGTCCCCTACCGCCCCTGATCCTCTGCTGAGAGGGGAATTTTCCGTGAAGGCTGGGGAGCAACAAAAGCTGCGCTATCTTATCTCCCTCGTTAATGACCAGAGTTCCGTTAGGGGATCGGACCAGAATTTTTATGCGGCCTGTGTAGTCAGAATCAATGACTCCGGGGACAACAATGAGACCTTGCAGGGCAGCTGAAGCTCTACCCAACACCAGTCCAACTGTCCCCTCAGGCAGCGGTCCACAACATGGGGTTTCTACGATTTGGGTACCCAATTCAGGCGTTAGTATGAGTCTGGTGGTGGCACAGAGGTCCAGTCCTCCCGAGCCGAGCGTGGCTCTTGTGAGGTTTGGCTGTCTCGAGGGGACATTCTCAGGGTCTGGGGGCCCACTCCTTGGAGGGGCCCCCTCTGGCTGTTTTTTGTCTCTGATAGCTGTCTGCCACTCAAGCGGTTTCCGTCACTATCAAAGATGGAACGACAGTCCTCAGCACGGTGAGCTCCTTTCCGGCAGCGCCTGCAAATCTCCCCTCCCCCTTGGACGGATCCGCCGGAGC